AGCTAATGAAGGGCTGATATTTCTGAAATAATAGCAAGGAGATTAAGGTAATAAAGTAGTGTTCAAGTGGTGTATTCAATCAGTAACAACCGGTACATGTCGGTTCAAATCGATTTTCCTTAACTCGCCCGTACTAGTATTGTAACTTATGATTCACTAACTTATTATTATCACTTCTAATCACACACTTTTTCTTATCTAAAACTCACTCTTAACCACCAAATTTAGTACACACTCTGCACCGATTAATCACACTACCAAAAGACGCAAAAACCCTAATTTACCCTAACGATGAAAGTAAAGGGGAAACTCTTAATTCTATTCTTTATTCCAACTATTGAGGGAGTAAATGAGTTGTAAAACTATCATAAAGTAATTGATTCAAAATAAAAGGGAATTTTAAGAAAATATGAGGGATTTTACAAGTCCTCACAGTTACCACTGATGCTTATGGAATCAGATCGAGCGTGGAAACTCCTAGGAAAAACATACAAGTTTTGAAGTGGAGCAAATCCAAGTGACTAATATTGATGTCAAGAGTTATGAGGAGGGTGACTTCAAGCCGCAATTTGAAGGCCTTAGAGCTGCTTTCCCTGAAACCTCTCAAAACAAAAATCATTCTACCATGATCTTAGAAAATGTAGAAAAAGAAATGTCATTCCAAAGACCTCAAATGAAGTAGAAAAATAGGGATGAGCAGGGTTGGTTCATTAGCCCTATGTCTTCTTTTTTCCAGAAAAAATTCTTTTCTTTCTTGCTCTTTTTCTTTTGCTTCCCATCACAAATCTTGTGTGGCTGCTTATTTCACTAAAATCCCCTCTCTAGAAACCCCAAACCTTTGTTATTACATATTTATGTGAAACAAAAACCCTAAAACCTAGAAATGAGGGTTAGGATGAAGTGGGATGATGTGTCCCTTTTTTTACCCTTTGATCAAATTTTGTTAGGTGTTAAAAGATAGGATTTGGATATGAAGAGCTGTATTTGTACCAACAAACTTGGGAAAAAAGAAAGGACAAAGAAAGGAAAAAATTCTTACCAAGAAAGCAAATTCCCGCACCAAGCTTGTACTGGTCTCTCGTTTGCAACGTGAAGAAGAAGTGGCGCGCGTGCACATGAAGAGTTGCACTCTTTTTATTTATTTATTGAGGGAAGGGGAAAAAATGGGTTTCTTTCCAGGTTTTTGCTAGGTTTCGGGTGGGCTTTTGTTGTGTTTCGAGTGAGTTCATTTAGGAATTGGGTTTTGAGTGGATTTAGTGTTGGGTTTATTGTTGGGGTTTCTATTGGGTTAGAAGCAAAAGAAAAGAAAAGAAAACAAACCTCTACTATTTCTTAATTTTGAACTTTCATTTTTTTTCTTTTTCCATTTTTTTCTGCACAAACCTAAAAACAAAGTTAATATGATTAATTAAGAAATTTATAAGTAAAAACAAAAAAATAATAGTAGACTTGAGATTAAGAAAAATCTGGTGTCTACATATCGTACCTAAAAGTTATATTATGGGAAAAGTTAATCGCACTAGTCATTTATTTTACTATATAGTAATCTAGTACATGAAAATTATATAATAAAAATGATAGTAGGAATGCGATTAATAAAAGAGATAATATCAGTAACCTCCCCTGAGGTTTCTTTTAATAGCACTTGGCACCCCGAAAATTTTAAAAATATCACTTACCTCCCTTACTTTTGTTATTTGTTTCACAAAATTTTTAAATTCTTAAACTACCCTTTTCACTTGCTAAATAAAAATATTCCTAAATCATTTTATTCACTTCAAGAAAACCACCACCCCAAAAACAATCTCTTATAGTATTATCACATCATAATGCTATAACCCATAAAAATATAAATTTGAAAAAAAATATATTTGAAAAGAAATGCACTTGCATCAATTTAACTTTATATGCTCAAAATCCATTCTTATGAACTTATATTTTTTTCAACATCTTCTCAACCTTTACTCAAATGATTAAATTGTACCATTCATTATAGAAATCAACTCAAAATAAGGAAATAAATCATACCTCATTTTATCACAATCACAAAAAATAAAAGATAAATAAAATTCAATTTATTATAATTTACAAATAAAATATTGCATAGTCATCCAAAAAAATGGGTAAGAGAGAATGAGGGAGAAAAGGGAAAAAATAAGAAAGCGACTTTTGCTTCTTTTTTTTTTAATTTTTGAGTTCCATTTATTTGATATGTTGTGAATTATGTGTCAAATGAGGGTTAATATAGTCTTTTTACATTTATTAGGGGTGGTAAGTGATATTTCTAAAATTTCAAGGGTGTAAAGTGATATTAAGAGAAACCTGAAGGGAGGTTTCTGATATTATCCCTTAATAAAAAGTAGAGTGTGATTAATATTTTTTGTATATTTTTTAATATGTTTGTAGTTGTAACAAATGCACAAAAAATGATAAAGTCATATACTAATACATATTAAAATAAATCACAATAATGATAATAAACCAAAAACTGTACAAAATTTGTATTTTTGGTGATATGGGGAATAACTAGATTATTTTAGAATTTTTTTTATCAAGCATAAGTGATCAAAACTTTGGCCCCCATTTGAATTAGCTGTTTTCGGACGTATTTTTTAAAAACTTTACTATAGCTGTGTATATGAAAAAAATTTACTGTAGATATTTTTTGGATTGATTTTAGAGGTATTTTTAAAATATATGAAAAATACTGAGTATTTTTATAATTTACAATTTTTTGGAATTTTTTTTAAATATACACTGGCTCTGTTTCTATATATTAATATTTATTTATTTATAAATATAATATTTTTTATTTCAATTTTATTTTATAATATGCATATTAATATATATAATATAAATATACATATTATATATATTAATATACATATTATAAAACAAAATTGAAATATATATATTTATATAAATATATAAATAAATATATTTATATATTTATATATTTATACAAATGTATATATATTAATATATTTATAATAATATGTAAATATATTTTAACAAAAAATATATATTTATATATAAATATATATATTTATTTCAATTGATATAATATAATATACATAATTGAAATATACACATTAATATCTATTAACATACATATTATAAAACAAAATTGAAATAAATATATTATGTATTTATATAAATATATATAAATAAATATATTTATATAAATAAATATATTTATATATTTATATATAAATATATTTTTAACAAAATATTTATATTTATATATAAATATATAATATTTATTTCAATTGATATAATATATATAATATACATATTAATGTACATAATTGAAATATATTAATATTACTATAATTTATATATATATAATGTAATATACATAATTGAAATATACATATTAATATATATTAATATACGTATTATACAAAAATTGAAATATTAAATTTATAAATTTATATAAATATATATAAATAAATAAATATATATTTACTTAAATATATAAAAAAATATATATAAAAATATATTTTAAACAAAATATTAATATTTATGTATAATTATATATATTTAATTTTTTGTATATATATTTCATTAATTTTATTTTTTTTAAAAATTTATATTTTGTATATATATTTTATTAATTTTAGTTTTTGAAAAAATATATTTATAAATTTATATAAATATATGTAAATAAATATATTTATATATTTACATAAATATATATGTAAATAGATTTATAAATATATATAAATATATTTTGAACAAAATATATTAATATTTATATATAAATATATATTTATTTTTTGTGTATATATTTTATTAATTTTATAAGTATATATATTTATTTTAAACAAAATATGAATATTAATTTTTGGATTAATATTTATATATAAATATATATAATTATTAAACAAAATATATTTTTTTGTATACATTATTTATATATAAATATATATATTAAAATATTTTTGTATATTTGAAGTTATTTTTGATATATTGTTTGGATATAGTATTTTTGGAGTTGTTTTTGTTTGTGTATTACTGTAGCATTGTAGATGAAAAACAAGTATTTCAAAAACTCTCAAATTCAAACGGAGCCTTGGTAACTAAGAACTTGTGGGGATAAATTAGTCACTGTACGAAAATCATGTGTGAATACCCAACCCAATTGTACCTCATTGGAAAATTTAATTGTTTCAATTTATGTTTAGGGAGTAATGTGTAGAAAATGTATTTTTCAAGGGCTTTATTGAAATTAACCCTAAAATAAAGATGATATGATCAACATGCTCTACCAACATTGTAAAATACTTTTCATCTCTTGCCTAAAAGGGTCAACCCAACTCAAAATTCTCAACCTTTGAATGCCCAGATTCTTTCTTAAAAATTAAATACCAAAAACAAAAGCGAGAAAATAAAAACCAAGCCAATTCTGAGAAATAAAACAAAACAAAATATCAAAAAGCCCCTTTGGATTGTAAGATTCGTAGAGTTTTTACAGAAAATATACTATACTGAGTTGATATACATGAGTTAAAAAAATAAATTATAATGACTTAATATATATAAAGTAAAAAAGTAAATAAAAAAAATTGTCGAGAAATTTTTTTTTTTGGCAAAAACTCTCATCATCTCTTTTCCTAAAAGGGTCAACCAAATTCAAAATTCTCAACCTTTGAATGCCCAAATTCTTTCTTAAAATACCAAAAACAAAAGAGAGAAAAAATAAAAACCAAGCAAATTCTAAGAAATAAAACAACACAAAATACCAAAAGCCCATTTGGATTGTAAAATTCATAGAGTTTTTACAAAAAAAAAAAATATATTATAATGACTTGATCTACATAAGCTAAAAAAGTAAATAATAACGATTTGATATATTTGAATGAAAAAGTAAATAAAAAATTATCGAGATTTTTTTTTTTTTTTTTTGCAAAAACTCTCAATTCAAACATTTAAAATTAGCTAATAAGTACAAATTTGAGACCTGAAAAACAGTTTAAAAAAGCCCGAAAGACTCGCCCTTTTGTCTTCTCTCACATTTTCCCTCCACTCTGCCTTCTTCACTCTCCCAGTCCCCTCACATTCTCACTCCACTCTCTTTCTTCTCTTTCTAGGGTTTTTCCGATTACCGAAGCGAGAGAAATCGAGCAACCGCTATGGCGTCGACCGCTGGGGTTTTCGGAAACCGCTGCAGAGCACTCATGGCAGCCGCTAAGACCTCCGTCACCTCCACCACTGCCGGCTCCGCCGCTGCCAAAACTTCTGGCCGCAGAAATGGCATCCTGAAGACGCAGCCTGTCTCCCCTGCTCTCCGCCAGTTCGTTGGTGCACCCGAAACTTCCCGCACTGACGCCGTCAAGAAAGTCTGGGTTTACGTCAAATCCAAAAAGCTTCAGGTCTAATAATATACGAGTAGCTTTTCCATTTCAGTGGATTTTTTTAATAAAAAATTTTAGATGATTGTTTAACTTATCTGCTCATTACCTTCTAATTTGTGACTAATTTTTTTTACATTTGCTTTTTTTGTTTATTGGCTCAACTTCTGTTGGTTGTTGATTGTGTACGGAATCAGGCAATAATATGTCTCTGGACAAAGACGTGCAGAGATATCATGATTGTAGTCTATTGAGACTGATTTTTTAAAATTTTCTTTGTGAATTTCTGTCTTTTAAGAATGTCAATGTAAAGGCAAATATACAACGATGTTGATGTCCTTGTGAAGCAATAGAGTATGTGTATTCGGGGAAAAGAAGAAGAAAAAGTATAATAAGAGAAGTGCCTGGGTAGTTTGCAACTATTTACTTTTTGTCTGTTTAAATGCATATGTGTATATTTAAGTACTGTAAATACAAGGTCTGTAGGCATAATGGCTATCCATAAAACAGGAAGGGAAGTTTTAAGCTCTGTTTTCTGGGGAACGGAGGGGGATGAGGAGTGAATGAAACCATTGCTGTTGTAGGATTTGAGTTATCCTATTGTCCAGTGGCCTACCCCTAATTTTTAGCCTCTTATGTCTGAGAATCCTAGTTTCTCTTTAAACTTTTGTGTTCTCTGTATTTGCTTTCCCATTCTTTTCTGGTATTCTTTGAGTAGAAGACTAATAGAAAGGCGTGTGAACGGTTTTGAGTTATGGCTTCTGTTCATTGTTGCTGTTATTGATGTGATAAATTTGCAAGGCTAATACTGATAGAATGCATGTTTATTGTGCATTTGATCTGGTGGAGTCTAAAGGGGTAGTGCCCAAATTTCTAACCAAACTGATATTGTACAATGACTAGGTAATTAAAAGATTCCATTGACATTCTTCTGCAGGCTAATGAATAATTCTTACTTGTGTGAGTGTTTGTCCTTCCCTGTTTCTTCTTTCTAATTTGGAATGGTTTGTTTTTCTTGGTTTTTTCTTTTCTTTTCTTTTATTCATCTATTTTCTGTATTGGAGCCACTAGGGGAAATTGGATCCCTTGGTCTTGTGTCAATTTTTATCATATCTTATTTTGTGTATGTGAAATTTTGCACTGCAACTTTAATATAGACATTCTGGTTTCTTTACTGCTTGCAAAATTAGTTTAATTTTGATAATTATTGTACTTCTCTGTCAAGAATACTGCTACCCTGATGGATTGGCGTATAATTTCCCTTGAGATGACAGAAGGTGGAGTTCATTACCTATGCTTGTTGCAGAAATTCAGGGTCATGCTGCCTTTTATATTGTTTGTCTTGAGTAGTAGATTTTAAGAAGAATTTTGAAATCTGCATGGAGAAAATCTGTGCAATTAGTTTGTGTTGCATATGCATAGTTAATCACGATTTCTTATTGCATGAGACTAGAAACTTTCCTCAAGGTTACTTCAAAAATATGGTACATGACTTTGTTGTGGTTTCCTTGTATTTCAGAATCCAAACAACAAGAAAGAGATCTACTGTGATGAGAAGCTGAAGACCATATTTGAAGGCAAGGAGAAAGTTGGATTTACTGAGATTGCGAAGCTGCTTTCCAAGCATTTCCAGAAGGCTGCATAAACATTTCTTAGAAAAGATAGTGAGTTTGTTTGGACAACAAGAATTTGAAATAAAAATTTCAGATTTTGTTTTGCTTGCATCATACACACAATTTCCAATCACCTTTTTATTTCACATACATCACATCACAAAAAGTGCTACAGTAACTGGATCAAATAAATCATCCAAATAAATTCTTATCCAAACAAACTATCTCTCTAGTGGACGGGTAGATTTGTAATTCAGGAAGTAGAACATATCCTCTTTTGTTCTCAGTCTCTTTCTTCCCCTTCTGTTGTCTTTTTGGACGAGGGATAGTGAATCTGGCGCACAGATTAGATGTTCTCTTTATGTTATCTCGATGATGGCGTAAAACTTGCGTAGGGTTTGTACGGCAAACATGTTCCACTGTTCTGATGGTTTTGGGGAATTTTTTTTTTTTGGGCTTAATGGCTTCTCTTATTGATAAATTATGAGGCGTACACAAGGTTTGTAAAATCAAGATCTCACGTCGGATCGATTTTAGTTTCACAGAATCGGATCGTAAGATCTTATCAAAAACTCCTAAATTTACTAAATTAATGAATTTGAAATTCATATATTATTTTGTACATCCTAAAAGATATCAAATAAATAAGCTATTCATAAATATATAGTATTTTTTACTTACTATCTGACAAGTAATAAAGAAGAGAATATAAACCTGTTATCTGTCATGATTTCAAGTCTTAAAACCAAATGCTTCACAGTTTACACAATCATAATTTCAAATATAAAATAATCATCAACCTTCACAAATACTAAAAAGCCAAACATCCAAAAAGATTTTCAAGATCAAAATTAACTACTAGAATGTCATCTGTCATGTTTAAACAAACATGAAAAAATAAAAAATAAAATAGCAACAATTCATCATTTTCAAGTATCATAATAATTCAGAAATACATTAATTTATAACCAATCATTTTCATCGTTTGAATCAAATTCATTATTCCCATAATCCATATTATCAAAATCATTATTTTCCCAATCATCTTCACCATCCCAATTCTCTTGGAATTCATCTTCGGCATTATCTTCATCACCATCCAAATTAGTATCATTCAAATCATTAGTTCCCATTTGAAGATCAGTTTCGAGAACCATATCAAGATAATCATCATCTTGGCGGTCGAATTCAGTTGAAGGCCCATCATCCTCATCAATAACATGAATCTCTTTCATTTTATTAACTTGTCTTCGACGGACATGGGTTTGACGATCTTCATGATCATCTAAATAAACAAACAATAATAATGAAAGTTACCAAAAACAAGAGAACTTGCAAAATAAAACTATAAAAACAAAAAAAGGATAAACTTTATACTTAAATTGGAAGAAAGAAAGAAACTTACAAACTCTCTGCACATTTCTTGTAAGTATTTCAATTTCATCATCTTCATTTCCCTCTTCATCTGAAGTGTCACATTTGGGATTGTCATCTAGAACTCGTAACCAGCTATTTTCTCTTGGAAGAGTTGGATTTTCTCTCTCTGTCACCCATTCATCATCTGAAGGCAAATTCTCAAAAGGAATTTCTTCAATAATACGTTGCCTTTGCCTTTGTCTCTCTCTCAACTTCAAGTTGTACATCACAAACACAAGATCATTCATTCTTTTTTGAGCCAAACGGTTTCTTCTCTTAGAATGTACCTATTGAAATTGAAAGAACTTACACAGTTACACTACGAACTTAAATTCAAATGCTAAACAAAATATTATACTAAATGAGATATTATATTATATGAAAACATTATTATCAATTCAAATGCGCTCCAATTTCGCTCACATCCAGAAGAGCTACAAGTTAAACTGAGAATTCGAATGGCAAAAATTTTCAACTCTGGACACTCATCGCCATAAGATTCCCACCAATCAGCTGTAGGAAATTAAAATAAATAACAAATTAGTAAAGGTTTTAAAAATAAAAACACAAAGTTCAAATGGTAACTAACCAGGAGATTTCTTGTTTCTTGTTAGTACAGCATTTTCATGACCAAATAATCCATTTGCATGTCGAAAGTCATCTAATTGCAAATCAATCTTCACCCTTTCACCAGATTCGGGAACCATCTTAGCAATGCAATCATAAAGGCCACGTTTTATATTTGCATCCGACTGAAAATCTGGGCTATATTGAAATTGAGGATTCAAATAATAACCCGTGGCATGTAAAGGATGACTTAATTGATCTTCCCATCTTTTATCAATGATAGCAAATGCCGATTCATATCTAGCATATAAACATGAGTTTGGTTAAAAAAATAACTAAAAAAATTCATTCTACTATCCAACACAGAAATTATAAATGAACTCATAATTAATATGACAATTTATTTAAAATTTACCTCTTTCGAATATTGTTCACATTTTGTTTGATTTCTTCTTTTGCCTGATAAATAGCTTTATAGAGAAAGCCCATGGCTGGTTTTTCATCAGAATCAACCATCCTCAATACTTTGATAAGAGGCGAAGCTATCTTTAAACATAACTCCACATTTGGCCAAAATTGTTGATTATCAAAAATGATGCTCTCAATTTTTTTCCCCTTGTTTCTCCTAGCATACATGCTTGTTTTCCACTTATCCGAACAGAAAAAGTTAAACAAATTCCCTTTCAGCTCGCTAAGACGTCTCATGGTCAAGTATGAAGTAGCAAAACGAGTAACTCCAGGTCTAATCAACTCCTTGCCATTAGTGAACTGTTTCATCCAATTAATAACTGTACCCCATGCATAAATATATGTAACCACTGATTTCGCTTTTTGTATAGTAACTTTGTGGAGAGAATCAAACTTTTGAAAATCTTCTAACATTAGATCAATACAATGAGCAGCACAAGGGGTCCAAAACAATCTTTTTCTCTTTTCCATCAATATTTTTCCAGCTGTCTTATAATTAGAAGCATTATCGGTGATGACCTGCACAACATTATCCTCTCCAATTTTTTCCACAATACCATCTAACAATTCAAATAATTTTTGAGCTGTTTTTGAAATATCAGTGGTATCTACCGAAGATAAGAACACAGTACCAGCTGGACTATTCACAAGAAAATTGTTCATTGTTCTCTTTCTCTGATCAGACCATCCATCGGACATAATAGTACAACCAGTTTTTTTCCACTCTTTTTTGTACATATTGAGCAAATTCAATGTCTCTTGCACCTCTTTTTTCAAAAAGGTCACTCTCATTTCATGGTATGAAGGTGGTTTAAGTCCTTTTCCATATTCTCCCAATTTCCTAATCATTAAAGGAAATAATGGGTTATTTACAGCATTAAATGGAATGGCACTTGTATAGAACCACCTAGCCATTATTTGACAAACTTCATCTCTATCTTGTTTCTTCCATTTCTCACTTATGGTTGTTTGTCTCACATTCAACCCCCCAGATTTTCTCACAACAAAGTTGTCCATAGAACATTTTTTAGCCTGCTGCTTAACTTCACTTTCTTCTTCTTCTAAATCATACATGGTACTAACCCTTTGTTTTTTTTTCCTTGATTCCTCAGAACTTGCACTTAGTAAATCAAACATTTGGGTTCTAACATCTTCAGGAACGCTGGGACATGGTTCAACATTTGTATGTGTACAAGCTAAATGATGCTTAAGCCTATACACACCACCAGCTCGAGTAATCCCACAGTATTTACACTGAACTTTTTTTTTATTAGCATCAATTTCAATTCCATGATCCCACCCGGGATCCAATCGAGCACCCGGTGCATTTTTTCTACTTTGTTTCTTTGAAGCGGATGAAGACATTTAAGCACTGCCAAATATATTAGAATATTCATAAGAAACCAAGAAATTCAGACCAGACCAGCACTTGATAAAAGAAAATAAAGCTAGCATTCAGAAAATAAGCCAGACCAGACCAGCACAAGAAATTCAGTCTTATTACCAATGATTTTTGCAAGGCCGAGTGCAAATCCAATGAAAACATAGGTAAAGGACATAATAGCAACAACAATAGAAGTTCAGAAATTAATGCTTGAACAGCAAACATTTGTATTTGTGTGAATATTTCTGGAAAATAAAACTTTGCTATACGTCCTACCAGAAAAGGGAATTCTTTTATGTGTCCTTAGTGATCCTTCATACCCTGTGCTTAAAAATCACTATTTCATAAAATTATGGTACTCAATGAGTTAATCAAAACAACAAGATACCAAATATTCTTAATTCATATGCTTTTAATTGTCTAGGTTACTAATCACTTAGGAGTCATGATAACAACTAACTAATCCAAATTTCGTGCTAGAATTGATGTCTAGATCAGTGCAGAGTTCTTATAGTACATGAAGCATCTTTGGGATCACAGCTTAATATAGCTTAGTCAAAGGAATAACCAGGACGAGAGTAGAACAGAAAAACAATCCTGTGAAAATAGATTATTAAGGAGTCATGTAACAGAAAGAAAAATTATCAACTGACATGTTTTACTGTAAAGATAACAGTTGAAAAATCAACCGTCCAACTGCTGCAAAATGCATGACAAAATGGGAAGATTTAAACGATGTTATATTAAATAATTTTATGAGTTCTCATTAATTCATTATTACAAAATAATAATACTCCTAATTTCGATTTCTTCAACAAGTTCAATGGGAAGATTTATGTGGTAGCAGAGTCTCGATTATCAGAGCTTCCTATGGAGAAGGCAAAAAAGAGTGCACCTAATGGACCCGTTAATGATTCTGAGAGCACAAATCCTAAGACAAAGTGCTGGTGCTTCAGAACCGTCAATAATTTTCAAGCAAGAAAACCAAATTTTCACAAATCCTAATGGACCCGTCAATAATTCCCTTCAACTTCAACTCAATTCAATCAAAAGCAATATATGTTCAAATACCAAGAAAACCAAATACAAATCATAACTTTATCAATCACCATCTCCCCAAGTATCAATTTTCAAGCAAGAAAATAACCACACTCACATATGACTTTAATTGAAGTGCTGGTGCTTGAGCTTCAGTGTGGTGGCAGGCTGGCAGCACGAAAATTGGAGAAGAACGGGTGCTGGAGCTTCAAGCTTTGAAGCTTGAAACGGCCAAAATCCGGCGGCAACAGAGGATTTCGTAGCTTGATATTCTTACCGAAGCAATGGCTGCTGGAGCTTGAAGCTTTAAAGCTTGAAGCCTTGAAGCTGTCGGCTGTAGCTTGTGGGTGACTGGGTTCTTGGTAGAAGCCGCAGCAATTTGTCTTGTTAGTACTTGGTCTTGGTAAGAGCTGTAGCCGAAGCTTGAGATGGTTTGATGGTTTAAATTAGGGATTTGATTTGGGCAGCGGAGAGGAGAAAAGAAATGACAAAGGTCTGCTTGAGGAGAAGATGAAGAAGACCGAAGCTTTTTGACGGAACCTTTTGACTTTGAGGCAAAATTTGTTAAAACATTGCAACTAAGGCCTGCAATTTCTTGATAAACTACAAGCCTACCCCAAATGTTGATTTTTACTTGCAAAATGAACCTTGTATTTCACAAATTAGCCCTTTTTTGTAGGATCGAAGTAGGATCGTACGATCCTATGCGATCCTACCGATCCTACCTTGATCCTATGTAGATTCAAGGAATTTGCGATCCTAAGTGCGATCCGGATCGATTTTGCCTTTCCGGATCGTAGGATCGTACGATTTTAACAACCATGGGCGTGCACTGTTACGAAGTATCTTTTTTTCTAACATTTAAAACACCAGTTAAAGGCTCACCGGTTAAAGCTTGCACTTGAATAGAACGTCTGTTTATTATTCTTTGGTAGGAAAGGCAACGGCTTTGTCCACTAGTTCCTTCCGTCCCTGCCCCTTGCCCTGTGGGTGCCTTTAAGGGACGGGGGTTAATAAAAATTTGTCGTAATTTTATTATAGTCAAATTTTAACAAATAATTAAATATTAAAATATCAATATATTATCAAATTATTATTTATTGTAATTTTACAATAAAAATTCATAAAAATAATAAAAAAGTTATTTGAATACAATTTAACATGATGAAATAAATATAATCAAAGTAGTCAAGTTTTTACTTTTGACACAAATATAATTAATAAGTCATTATTGTGTTTTTTTTTTAGAAAAAAGTGTATTTGTGTTAAGTGTAATTAGGAATTTAGTATAAATGTATTAGTAAATTTAGTATAATTAATTAATAATTTCTATTAGTAGATATGTATAATTATTAGTATAATTGATAATATTAATTATATTAAATACACTAATATCCATTATATAATACATATAATTAATAATATCATTATTATAAATTTGTAACTAATTAAATTAAATATTATATATATAATTATATACATACATACATATATATATTTATTTATTAATTTTTTTAACAGGTGGCGGGGGGAACCGCGTTTCTAATCGAAGGGAAAAAATTCCCCCCAACCCTCGCCCCATTAGTCTCTCATGGGACGGGTGCCCGCCATCCCTATTCTTTGGTTGGAATCACCACTTTTGTTGTGAGATTGCGAGGCAAAGTACCTCTGTGCTGGGTTAGGGTTGGAAATAAATCGAGTTGAATTTTTAAATTGTCAGACTTGATTGGAAATTTTGAGTTTGAATCCTATGCAAGTTTGTAATTGGCTTAACTTAATTACATATTGCTCTCTTGTAATTAGGTGTTAGTAGCAAATTGCTTCCTATATTTATGAAATTGACAAATTACTCCTTTTTTTGTTGGGGAAGTGATAGAAAGTATTATTGATGATAAGATTAAAATTACAATGTGTGAGCAAGGGCTTATATTCAGCTATACAAAGTGAACTAAGACACTGAGGATCTAAGAATTCCTCATCAAAAGTTATATCTTGAGCAAGTATATTCAATCTTGTACTTAGTCTATTAAGTTCACAAGATGGACTATCAAATGAGTATTTCCTAAACATTGAGCTAAAGTTCTTGATATCCTCCCGATGTGTAGCAATTCTAGTATCATTTGAGGATTGTTTCCGTATCAGATTTAGAACTCGGGTACAGGATGTATGGACATTGATCATCTCCCAAACTTGTTCCTTGATCTTGCTCAAGGCCAATTTAATGGCTTGCAGGTAGTCTAGTACCATTGATCCAGTGCTTCGTTCCCTCATTTTCCAGGTTGCAAGCAGCTAGTTCAAGTTGTTTTTTACAAAGATCTCTATCCCCATATTTTGGCCTTTCTTATGATGTCCTACATCCACACATTATCAACATGTTCTCTCCTTGTGCCACTTTTTGTTCTTGTTCTAAAGCTCTTTTTATTTCTAAGATAAAACATCTGAGTTGTTGTTTGTTGAAATTGGCTATATTCCTCCCAATCCTTGATTGTTTTCGAATTCTTCCATAGGATGCATTTCTTTGTCTTCAAACTCCTCTTCATTTCTAATTTTTCAAATTTGCCATAATATGTTCACTGTCAAGGCTATGTGGTCTATGGCATCCTTTCTGTTCCTTGCTTCCATCAGCTTTAGCCACTAGCTTTTGAAATTTCCTGTGTGTTCATTGAGTCCATCCCATTGAAGGGGGGCCATTTTATATATAATTCTTGCTTTTCTACATTGAAAAAAGATATGTTCCACTGTCTCAACATCCCACCCATAGTTTTTGCAAATCAGATCTCCTTTTCTTGTTGTTTTGAAGATTATTCTGAAGATTATTTCTCTTGCTGGCAAAGCATGATTCAGACACTTCCATATGAACAGCTTCTGTTTATGCTTGATCTTTATTTTCCATAGTTGTTTCCAAGCTCATTCTTTCTCACTTGCACTGCTTGTCTCTCTCTTATTGCTATCTCTTTTTTCCATCTGTCTATCCTGCCTAGTCATTGCTTTATATGCTGGTTTGACAGTGTATTGTCCAGTATTACTATGGCTCCAAAAGTAGCTATCAGGTCTACCAGCTAAGCTTATAGGTATTCTGAGGATTTTCCTAGCTTCATCTGAACTAAAGGTCCTAAAGATTAGTGTTGTAGTCCATTTGAAATTTGAGATCAATTCACTCACCTTGCTAATTTGACAACCTTGAGGCTTAGGAGAGTTTAATTTTCCTACCTTGCAGTTCTGTATCCATGCATCTTCCCATATTTTTATACCTTTTTCCATTTCCAATTTTCTTTCTAGTTCCCCTATTTACTTCATCTCTGGCTCCTATCAGACTTTGCCATATCCAGGATGAATTGCTTTTAAATTTGTAGCTTAGAGGTGAATCCTTTGGATAATAATTAGCTTTCATCACTTTGCTCACCAGGAGGTTTGGACATGTTAAAAGTCTCCATACCTGTTTGCCCAACAAAGCTTTATTGAATTTTTAGAGATCCTTAAATCCTAGTCCACTAGCATCTTTCTTAGTTGTTAGTTTTTTTCTAGGAGCACCAGTGGATTTTTCCTTTTCCTTTTTCTTCTCCCCTTTAGAAATTTGCCATCATTGCATTTATCTCTATGCATAGTTTCACTAGAAGTTTAAAATATGACATTGCATACGTTGGTATTGCCATGGTTATTGCTTTCAGTAAAACCTCTTTCCCTGTTTGGCTTAGCATTCTGTTTCTTCAGCTGGTTACAGTTTTTTGGCACTTTTCTCCGATAAATCCAAACACTTGATCTTTGGTTCTTGTGACAACCATAGGCTACCCAAAGTATTTCCCCTGATTTACTACTCGTATGTTTCCCACTCTTCTGCATATCTCTCTTTGCTTTTCCTGATCCATGTTCTTGTTGAAAATTACTAATGACTTGTCTATATTGATCATCTATCCTGATCCTTGTTCATACGTCTTCAAGATTC